ACTTTAGGAGTAAAGTAATACTGTGGAGCCAGCCTGGCACTCTAATACCTCATTCACACCAACGGTGTTTCAGGGCCGGTTCGGAGCTGGAGCTTGAAAAGCACCGGGTTTTCCTGTTCACACCGCTGCGGAGCAGCCTCTTAGCTCCGGAATCCGGTTCATTTCGAGCACCAAAAAATTGTCCGACCAGAGCAAAAGCACCGCATACGTCACGCTTACGTCGAGGCAGGGGCAGGGGCAGGGGCGGGATCAACTCCTGAACAACAACAAAAAGCCCGCGTTTTATCCAGTTTGTACACAACGATGGAGAAACTTCACAAGCAGCAGTGGTCCACTGAAGAGACCAGCTACCTACTGGGAATCTTGTCTTCCGAAGAGGTACAGAGGAAGCTGGAGCACAATCGTCCATTGTTGTTGTTGTCGGTGTCAGCTGTGAGGGGTTTCCGCGCGCTTTGGCTTTATGAAGCAGGCACGCAAAAGGTTACGTCATGACGCAAACGATGACGCAGCACGAGTCGGACTCTGGGCTCTGGGCAGTTTGAAAAGAGCTGGAGCTAAACCGAAGAACCGGTTCTGAACCTGAAAAGCTCTAGCACGGAGCTTGAACCAGAGTTGCGTTGATGTGAATGAGGTATGAGTGAGGGGGGTTCTTTCCAAAGCTTGCTGCTTTACCCCTGTAACGACTGAGTGAACAGAAGTAGAGGACTTCATTGCAAGACTCAGGGACAGAGGCTTTTTGGTTACAAAGAAGGTCTTTACTAGCAAAGGTTCGGTACACGGTAGTTGAATCAGAAGGCAACCAAAACAGACGAGGATTAGGCAGGAACAGGGTCTGGACACGAAGCTGGGTCAGGTACACGTGGAAACTAAAAACCTGGGGAAAATACTGCTAGAACGCTTGAAAGAACAAAGACGAACTGGCAGTGAGGGGAATGTGGACAAGGGCGAGGGATTATAATGGGGCACAGGTGAGAGACTAATTAGGGATGGTTACGCAGGTGGGGCTAAATCAAGGTCAGGAAGTGCTGACACTGAAATGAGAGGTGAGAAACAAAATAAAACAAGAATATCAGAATGATAACAAAACATTAACCTGCTGGCTAAGACCTTACAACCGCCCCCCAACTGAAAGAAGGGGAGCCTCGTTCAGCTGTGAGTGAGACTCCAGACGTTGAAGGAGTGTGTATGGGTCGGTTTGGAATCAGGCCTACATTTCACTGTATACACATCCTTTAAACAATTTACCTTCTGTGCATTTCTATACTGCCTTCATTTCCTTTTAGTGTGAACATCGTGAATGTTAGTGTAATGATTAATATATTTTGTGTTTGGCATTTAGGTACATTTGAGAAAGGACAATTGCTTCACATACTAACTCTTCATACTACTCACCTAGCATCGTGATTCAGTAGGAAGGACATAAAGTGTCCTATCTCATGGTGGTGACGGAGTAAGGAACCCAGAAGGTAGCCTTTAAGATTTGGAGACACTCGGGACCAAGAATTAGGCGCATGGGCGCCCTTTGTGAAGGGAGTTGAAGAGTTAATAGGAGAAGGAAATAATATGGACTGGGACTGCTCCACCTGTAGAGGATACACAGCAAATAAAATAGGGTGTGGTTTTACTGAAGGCACCACAGCATGCCCTCATTGTAAATGGCCTGTTCAGGCCAAGTCATGCAGTCTTTCACCAGGGGATAACTAACATTGTTATTAAGCAATACACTTTAGTGTTCACATTGGGAAATTAGATGTTTTATGCTCACAGGTGTGGGTTTATGGCTTTTATCCATAGGTCCAATAATAAATAGACCTGTGGATGCTGGCTGACCTGTTTCAGGCGGAACTCTGACTCTTCGTACAGACTCTGCAGGTCCCTGTACTCCTGACTGTCCACTCGACGCACCTCGTCCTGCATTAAGACCTGGAAACTCACACACACATGGTCATACACACATACGTACACAGCAATGGCATCACCTTATGTCCTTTATCAGTATTCAAGGGTTATGAAAACCAATTTGTAAGGGAAACTTCTGAAGCAATGGAGAGTCAGGACTCAGAGAGACACGAGGAGAGTTGGAGCTTTGATGTCAAACACTGATGGTTTATTTGGAGTTACGGCCGGAGAGTTGACAAGACAGGTGGTGTGTCACGAGTTGACACAGCGGTTGCCAAACCAATTCTGAAGAACTCTTTCTGCAGCTCGAGGTTTTAACGGAGTGTAATAATCAACATTCTTCATCAGTGAGACTAAACAAATATGGACCCTGAATCTAACTACAGCTCTCGTCCATAGAAAAGAATGCGTGCCAGGGAACCTACGTCCCTGAACAGTGAATTACCTCATGGCTGCTTGTGCTCTGTCATAGACTGGCAACAACAATGCGCCCAAGCTGCCCCTCCTTAAAAGAGATAGCAGCAATACCCAAGGCCGTAAAACTATGCCATGGGAAAGGAGACAGTGAGAGGAGAAAATTATGAACTGTGTCAAAGGTTGAATACCTAGGCAAATTATTTCCCTAACACAAATGATTAAAAACTCTAATCAATTTGATCTTTACGGTGTTCATAGATGCCGATGTCAGATGTGTCAATTGAAATACGATTTTTCTGTAGACTTCCTTAAGGAATAGTCTAGTTGTAAGCTCATATAGTGAGCCCGGAAATAGAAATGTGCTGTAGGCCTATAGCAGTACTGCCGGATGCTAACTTGCATAAGTTTGGCAATTTGCACAATTAGCACAAGTTGTGTTAATTTAAATTGGCATTGTAGCCTATGTGAACAATCGTTTAAAGATGGCTTGGCTGATTTGGACAATATTTGAGTGGTTTTGGGGTTATTGAGTATGCTGAATCCATTTCTGACTTGTTCAGGATTAAAAATGGCAGTTTTAACCAGAAAGTGGCAATATGTGTACTCTCTTGGGCATATTTTGACTACCATGAGTAGTGTTGCAACAATATGGATATAGAGCACAAGATGAACATTATTGTCTCTACTGTGGACAATTTTTGTTTCAAATAAATAGGCAATCTGTCCAAGCCCCTACATCTTCAAATTCTAGCCAAAATGAATCAAAGTCAGCCAACAGAGAGTACAAATATGGCCACTTTCTGGTCACTAAGCTGGCAACTAGACTAGAAGCCCAATTCTGCAGATGAAAGGGAAGTGCATTACACTGTGGATGTACTGCAACTACCTTCTGAAAAGACTCTTTTTCCCTGCTGAGCAGCAGCGTCCATGGCTCCAGCAGAATGTTTAGTGTGTGTTCCTCAACCCTGTCAAACACTTCCTCAAAAGCAGGCATGAGCTGGTCATACACCACTGTTCTGATCTCCTCATCAACACCAATACTCCTCCTGGCAGAGCTGAAGAGATAGGTGGAGTAAAGGAGCTGAGGAGAGGAGAGGTCATAAAAGTGTCATCACTTCCTCTCCGTGTTTCATCACCATAGTTCTGTGCTCTCCTACACAATATTCACTATCTCTCTAGTAAAGAGATTGGATACAGCTGTACCCAATCTCTTTTCTTTTCTTGCAACTTGAATGCAACTTTATTTTATTTCCATGCAAAAAAAGAGTTTCACAAATGCAGCTATTTTTTATTTCTTGAAATTAGTTGGGTGTTGTACAATTGGCATCGACAGCAAAGTATAATCTACTTAATAAATGTAAGGAAAGGTAATGACATCATGAGCGAATAGATGTATCAAATAGTGTATTGCAATTCTTTGGCAAAAGGACAACCAAGCTATCCTATGAGGAATGTCTTTAGTTGTAAGCCCAGTGGCGATCTGTTCATCTGTCATACTGATCATTACAGTCAATAACTTTGTTGTTATTAGCATCTGGTTAGCTAGCTATGCTAACGAATATAAGAAGCTTTTTCTCCAACCAATGAGGTCCAACTCAACTATCATACTAGAATACACACTGTATATGGATTTGTGCTTAATAGACAAAAGAATATTCCTTCTCCTCTTACAATAGTTTGTTATACTTCTGTATACTACTTCCACACATCTCATTTACATATCACACACAGCTGCAAACACTCACAGGCAGATTAATGAGCAGACAGAAACAGCAGCCGTAACAACTTATGATTCCAAATAGCAGAGTTGGTGACAGTTTTAAAGAACTGACATTAGTTTAAGATCCATCCCACTACCCTAACATATATGTAATGTACATGCTGTGTTTAAATCAGACAGTAGTTAACAACTTAGTACTTTGTTGGTAGTTGTGAGCAGAACAACGTGTGTGTATGGTGTTTGTGTGTGCTGACCTGTGCTTCCCTCTGCACTCTGTAATAGTCCAGTCCGTCCTGATAGAACAGCTCATGGTAGTGCTGCAGGTCAGTCCAAAAGTAAACCGCATTCTCCCACAGCTGAGACAAAAACAGAACCTCTGACTGTCATCATGGCAGTGGCGGTTCTATGGGGTGGCACGGGTGGCAGCTGCCACCTCAGAAAAATGCCTTGCCACCCTAGATGCCACCCTAAATGTAGGCAATTAATTTATTAATAACATTTTTTTTAAATGTTGATTATAAATGTTTGACATTTCTCCATAGTTGGTGTAAAACGTTTTACTCAACAGTTTAGAATGAACTCCCCCGCAAGTTGTGGTTCATCAGACATTTATGAGAGAAAATCTCTAATGTCCGAGTGCAAGTGAATGCAGCACAAGACGCAAGCCTTGTAACCCCTCCCCCGGCCCTGGCGCGAGCGTGGAAATATGATTGGCGGCGATTTCATTTGAACGGGACGGCGCAAAACGAGAAGCATTCGGACCCAAGCAGGCGGAAAGAATGAGGTATTTGCGGTCTACAATGACAGAGAAGAGACTGTCAAGTTTGTCTGTACTCAGCATTGAATCAAAACGCACTAAAGCTGTTGATCTTAATACGTTTGTGAGGCGTTTTGCAACATGGTAATCGCCGCATTCAGCTGTAATAGGCATGCCAACTTGATGCTCTGCTCACGGATGAGGGGATGGGGATGGGGGTCTGGCCCACAAAAACAGTTTTAAATCCTGAGAAAGTCAAATAAGACTGTGCGTAAAACTACACTGCCCAGCCAAAAAGACTACCACTTTTATTTAACTAGGCCAGTAGGTACAGTACATACAACAATAGGGAGCCCTGGATCAAGGACGGACAAAACAAGGACACCACACATGATTATTTTCCAATTACAGTATATTTATTTAAAGAGAGTAACTAAATTGTGATATCAGTTTAATCAGTAATGTGTGTGTAGTGTATGGGTGTGTGATTCACACACCCATACACTACACACACATTACTGATTAAACTGATATCACAATTTAGTTACTCTCTTTAAATAAATATACTGTAATTGGAAAATAATCATGNTCACGCCAACTTAAGATCCATATTCAAACATACAGATTCTAAATGGTACAAGTTGAAGCGTTTGTTTTAACAGTTTGCAGGAGGCAGGTAGTTGCTTTCAAGCAGAACAGGGCAAACAAACTTAGCGGGAGTGTTTACGTGTTCGGCATAATGATGTACAACGGCCTCGAAAACTTCTGTAGTCCTATTCAGCCACTTGTCAACAACCATCGTTTTTCAGACATGTAAACTCTTCAGAAATCCCCAGTGGGGTCACTGCTGATGTATTTAATGTCGTAGAACAAAACGTGATCCGTCTCTTCAATTTNGCTGAACAAAACATGATCCGTCTCTTCAATGTGTGTCAACCACAGACCTTATTTCAAGCAATTCCAAATCCTATGGAGAAATTGCATTGGGTTATGGTCGAAGGAATCGGATTCCGGGTTTTAGGACGTGTCACTGTGGCACTATATTGACTAGCGCTCCAACCCATTGTACGTGATAGGCTAAGGGAGCGGGACATCTCTAAGTGCTTGACCAATGACAACAGAGACAGCCAGCTAACCAATCAGAGCAGACTGGGCTCTGGTTTCAGACAGAGGGTGAAAAGAGGTGCTGCAGCACAGGCAGTATGAGGAAAATAANTATGTAACACTTGCGCTTCTATTGGCCAGCGCTCCAACACATAGTACATGATAGGCTAAAGGGGCGGGACCAATCACAACAGAGCCAGCCAGCTAACCAATCAGAGCAGACTGGGCTCTGGTTTCAGACAGAGGGTGAAAAGAGGTGCTGCAGCACAGGCAGTATGAGGAAAATAAATACTAATATGAACCTGAAAATTAACAGAATATGTCCTCATTAAAATATATTGTTATGCCTATACCCTCTCTTGTGCTTAGATACTTAAAATGTCACACCAGTGTCTACTTTGCATTGAGTGTAGGTTAACAGCAGTGTTTTCTCCCTATTTCTTCTCAATGAAACTAAAAGGACCATAGGAGAGTCAGAGACTACATTTACATCATTAGACATTATGTTGCAAGCTAACTAACAAAATTCAATTCATTTAGTTTCAAATTGACATCCTTGTGAGAATAGTTTAATTAAAACATGGAATAAAATAGTCCTATCACAAGTTCACAAGAAATCCCCCAAAACGAGATTGTAACATCAAAATGATGTAAATTTGACTAGATATAATTATATATTCTTAATGGATCTCAATTTGGAGAATTGTTATGTTATATCAGCATGTTGACTAGCCATTGCATACAAATGAAAAATAAAATATAAGCAATCAATATATAAATAGCAACAGTTCAAATGTATATTTATCCATTGAGTCTCAGAATACACAACAAAAACATACAAAATGTATACACTATTATAGCCCAACCATTCTGCTACTAGAGAATAACACGCAAAGAATACCTTATACATTTTACAAGTGTGGAAAGTTGTTGTAGTTTTTTAAAATACAAATGTAAATGCAATGAGAAAAAACGCAAAATAAAAAGGAAAAAAGACTTGATGAAATATAAACATCATCATTACTGGAGTGTAGACACGATTTTCTCCCTGTGTCAAACTCGGCTATTATTTAGTTTACTAGTTAAATTGCAGCCACTAATTATACCGTGTGAGACATTATAATGAATGGGAAGGTAGTTATCATCACTGCAGTCTATAATCAGTGTGTTCTTATTGAAATCATTAGCATGATCACCTCTGGCGAAGATCACCTTATATTCACGGCAGGGGAGTTTGTAAGATACATAAGGTGTATCATTTTAATTGTATTCTTAGAAAATGCAGCTTTTTTACAATACCCTGCTGCGTGGGTCAGAATGTTAAGCGGAAATGATGAAAAAACACTTTAAGTATTCCACCTGCAATCACATTTTAAGAGTTTCTGTTGGGATTATTAAAGAGTACAAGATGAATGTCTTGCAGTTAGTGCTGAGATCATGCTGAAACCTCACTAAAAAGGCTGTTTTGAAGTTTTGGTGCAGTGGCCTGGGATGTGTATTGACAATTTCAACCTTCGCTGCAGGATGGAATTGAACCCATGTGGGAGGACGAGAGGAACAAGCGTGGCGGGCGCTGGCTCCTCACCCTCAACAAGCAGCAGAGGAGATTAGACCTGGACCGCTTCTGGCTGGAAACTGTACGTTTGACTAAATCTGTGATGCTATTACTCATGTCTTGAGCCTCTAGTACATTTGTTACCTACATACCACTTCTATCACCAGATCCTGTCATACCTGCAGTGAGTCAAAGATCTAGAAACTATATACTGTGGCCTTGACTTTACTCTGAGCTGATGAAAAGTCTAACTAGAGCAGCTGAAAATTGGCCTGCTTGCTGCTAAGTCTGCAGTCCACACAGTGTTAGCTCTAAAGGTCACTGACAGTGATACAGGCGTCAAGAAAGCCGTGACCTGCCAGTTTGCACACAGCACTGATTTTACTGCTCTTTACTACTGGTGTTTCTACGGGGAAGGGGGTAATGTTGTTTGTTAATGACACTGTTGATGTAATGATTGTCTCAACAGTTGCATGGATCTCTAACTGCATATTGACCGGTGGGCTCCCTCGACAAAATACAATGGGATTTCTAATTTGGATTTAAGAACATTGCAGAAAAAGGCGCCCTGATGTGGCCCCACACTTGTTGATACTATCACTTTTTGTTCAGCGGGATAAACTCTGCATATTCACATTACTTTTATGATTTTTGAAGCGTAAATGCAATTGCCACAAGTAAAAAGCAAACAAACTACATCACGGTCACATGACTTAGGTCACCACCGCTTAGCTAAAGGCGGCTAATGTTCGGTGCAATAATAATAATTCATTACATTTTTAATTAGAACGCTTTTTCAAGTGCTCAAAACGCTTTACATGAATCAATCAATGTTTATTTATACAGCCCAATATCACAAATGTTACATTTGTCTCAGTGGACTTCAAAGTTTGTACAGAATATCAGTATGACAATACGACACCCTCTGTCCTTGGACCCTCACATCGTACAAGGAAAAACATTTCTGGAGAAAAACCCACAGTTTAAAGGGGAAAATGGGAAAAACCTCAGGGAGAGCAAGAGAGGAGGATCCCTCTCCCAGGACGGACAGACGTGCAATCGATGGCGTGTGTAAATTGAAAAGATTACGTGTAGTAGTCTCGTTTAGACTAGCAATTGTATTTTTTATGACGCAAAGTGTTTTTTACTGACGTATTTTATGTCACAGAACAAAACATGAAAAATCTTAAGCTTTTGTTGAAGGACCTTATTTCAGGCATCTAAACAAAAACAGTTAAATTCGAGAACTGGTTGTTGCAAAAATGATAACTCATTACCGGATTTTGGTATTTAGTCCTAAAGTTAGCCTATAAACGAACTACATCACGTTCCTGTGTCTTCACGACGTCACCACGGCTAGGCTAATGACGGTTCATTTTATGTCAAAGAACAAAAGCTGAAAAAGCTTAAGCTTGTGTTAAGCATGCATAGACCTCCTTTCGGGCTTCCAACCAAAAAAAGATTGACTTTAAGACAAGAAGTACCAGAAGTAGTCAAATGCTTTCCCATTTCCAGGTTTTAGGACACATTCCTGTACTTCTCTATTACATGGATTTTGTGTTTTTGAGAAATGCTTGATTAGATTAGTAATATTTGATAAGTATATGATATAAGCCTCCTGCCTCAATGGCAGACGGTGTTACATTTTCTACCACGGTCCAGGCAATATTTTGGAAGAAATAAACATGAGAATTCTTAAAAGAATGAAGGGAAAAAGTGGGTGAGGCATACAATGATTTCTGTTAAAATAGTTACAATGAGTTACTTTATATTTGTATAGTTTATATTTTGCTATATATTCCCAACAATTCTATAAGTTTGTACTTAAAAATGAAAATCTTCATGTAATAAACTCTTTAAGAAGCACATTTGTTACTACCATACGGAACTTAAAACATGAATTTCAGGAAATGGCAGCAAAAGCTTTCTTGTAAATGTCATGAAGGTGAAAGCTAACACTGCCCAGGTCCAGGCTCCTTTATTAGAAATTGGAGAATTTATAGTTCAAGTCAAATCGAAGGTTGGATTTAAACTTTAGTTTTTTTCCTATCCTCAAACCAGCTCCTGTGCTTAGTCGGAGAGGCCTTTGATGACCACAGCGATCAGGTCTGCGGAGCCGTGGTCAACATCCGCACAAAAGGAGATAAACTCGCTGTGTGGACAGCGGACTACGAGAACCGGGAGGCTGTGACACACATTGGGTGAGGCTGGTATACAGTTTTAAAGTATTTACAATCATATCTGCAGCTGAAGGCATCTTTCACATCCTCTAACGGTGTCATTTACCGTCAACAGGAGAGTTTACAAGGAGCGCTTGGGGATTCCCATGAAGATGACAATCGGCTTCCAATCTCACGCAGATACATCTACCAAAAGTGGTTCAACCACCAAGAACAAATTTGTTGTTTGAGAATGTGCCTCTTTCCTTTTCTTGTCTTATTTGTTGTTGGTTCATATTTTTACTGCACTGCAAAGACTCTGCCGAATGCAATCTGGAAGAAAGAAAAATCCAATCCTACGTGCCAAATGTTTCCATAACATACCCAGAACTTGATCCACTTGTAAAAACACACAGAAGAACATGAATATATCAAAACACTAACAATAAGAGGGATTAATAGTGAATGAGATTTAGAGTGCTGCATACTCTACTAAAGAAAGTTTCCTTTTTTCCTTTAATGTCAGGGAATCCTGAAATACGAGGGAAACGAGTACATTTCTCTCCCTTTTACTACAGCACTGCTGGTTGCTGTAATCCTTAATGCCATGAAAGCCTTTTAATTTATTATTAATTTGCCTGCATATGATTAGATTGTTAGACCTCTGTTTTATGCTTCTTTTTTTTTCCTTCAACTGTTGCACGTAATCAACCTTTTAAAAAAAGTATTTCATGACTCATATTCACTTTGTGTGTTAATATAATTAAAACATTGGTTTTGCAATTACTAGTTGTTCAATTGTGTAATACTTGTATTATTATCATATTTCCTTATTGTCTACATTTCCACTGTAGACAATACAATAATACTCAAGGAGACTGAATAGAGTGGTGCAGGTAGGATATCTTTATGTCTAACTGGAAGTTAGCGTTGCATGGGCACCTCCTGCAACTGGTTGTTTCCATTGAAAATTGCCAAGAATAAGCTCGGTGGCAAACAAACATTAATGATACTTACACATTTTCAGCAGGAACATCTCCACATATTAACAGTTTTATAATTGTTGATGCATAAATGCTATTACAAGAAGTAAAAAGCTAACGTAAACAAACTCCATGACAGTCACATGACCCCTGTCATCAGCGCTAAGCTAAAAACAGCTAATGTTTGAAATTATGACATCATTTAATTGAGTCCCTTGTTAGCATTGCAACCTCTGTTTTTATAAGTCACAGAAGTTTCAGACATTCACGAGTGGGGTATAAACTATTTGTGTCCTAACAAAATGTTTCTAGGCTAGCAAATTACATCACATTAGCTATAATTAGATGATCCAATCTTCCTATTCCAATCCCAAAAAACTATTTTCAATCTTTTCCACCCTCTTGGATCCCCCCGACGCCCCTCCCCCCTCCTCCCTTTGGCCAAGAGACCTTGTTAACTACTTTGAAAAAAAGGTTGATGATATTCGCTCTTCTTTTTCTGACTCACCTTTACTCACCGCTGGGTCACCAGACCCTCC